CTTAGGCCTGCTCCCGGGTGGCAGAGGACATGCCCAATCCCTAGATGCAGTCCCTGGTCGGGCTCAGAGCAGGGCCGATTGGGGAGTTGGGGCGCCGCCCCCTGTCATGCACAGAGCAGGGCGGATCGGGAGGTTGTGATGCCACCCTCAGTCATGCTCAGTGTAGGGCCGATTGGGGGGTTGGGGCACCGCCCCCTGTCACACTCAAGGCAGGGTCGATGGGGAGGTTGCGGCACCACCCCCTGTCACGCATAGAGCAGGGCCAATCAGGGGGTTGGGTGCTGCCCCCTGTCACTCACAGAGCAGAGCCCATCAGGGGGTTGGGGTGCTGCACCCTGTCACTCACAGAGCAGGGCCCATCAGGGGGGTAGGGTCTCCGTACCCTGTCACACACAGAGCAGGGTCGATCAGGGGGTTGGGGAGCTCTCCCCTGTCACGCACAGAGCAGGGCCCATGAGGGGGTTGAGGAGCTTCCCCCTGTGACTCACAGAGTAGGGCCCATAGGGGAGTTGGGACACCGCCTTCTGTCACACTCAGGGCAGGGCCAATGGGGAGGTTATGGCTCTCCCTCGTCACACACAGAGCAGGGCCCGTGGGGGGGAGGGGGGTTGGGGCGCCGCACCCTGTCACACACAAAGCAAGGCCGATCAGGGGGTTGGTGCGCCGCACCCTGTCACACACAGAGCAGGGTCGATCAGGGGGTTGGGGCGCCGCACCCTGTCACACACAGAGCCACAGGGCAATCAGGGGATTGGGGAGCTCCCCCCTGTCACTCACAGAGTAGGGCCGATAGGGGAGTTGGGGCACCGCCCCGTCACACACAGAGCAGGGCAGATCAGGGGGTTGGGGTGCTGCACCCTGTCACACTCAGGGCAGGGCCAATGGAGAGGTTATGGCTCTACCCTGTCACACACAGAGCAAGGCCCGTGGAGGGGGGTTGGGGTGCCACCCTCTATCACCCACAGAGCAGTGCCGATCAGGGGGTTGGGGTGCCACCACTGTCACACTCAGGGCAGGGCTGATGGAGAGGTTATATCTCTACCCTGTCACACAGAGAGCAGGGCCTGTGGGGGCAGGGGGGTTGGGGCACCGCACCCTGTCAAACACAGAGCCGCAGGGCAATCAGGGTATTGGGGAGCTCCCCCCTATCAGTCACAGAGCAGGGCTGATCAGGGGGTTGGGGCGCCTTCCCCTGTCACAAACAGAGCAGGGCAGATCGGGAGGTTGTGGCCCCACCCCCTGTCACACACAGAGCTGCAGGGCGATCAGGGGGTTGGGGAGCTCCCCCCTATCAGTCACAGAGCAGGGCTGATCAGGGGGTTGGGGCGCCTTCCCCTGTCACGAACAGAGCAGGGCGGATAGGGAGGTTGTGGCCCCGCCCCCTGTCACACACAGAGCCGCAGGGCGATCAGGGGGTTTGGGCACTGCCCCCTGTCACACTGATCCCGGTGCTGGGAGGCATATTACCCTTTTACTATATAGAATAGAGGCCTGGTGCACGGGTGGGAGCCAGCTGGTTTGCCCTGAAGGGTGTCCTGGATCAGGGTGAGGGTCCCCACTGGGGTGCCTGGCCAGTCTGGGTGAGGGGCTGAGGGCCGTTTTCAGGCTGGTGGGTGACTGAAGCTCCCAACTGCTCCTTTTTTTCTTTTTTCTTTTTTTCTATTCTGGGCCAGCTTTAGCTCTGAGGCCTCACTGCTGAAAGCAGGTTTCTGGCCTTTACCTTCTGTATTTGATACAATGTTGCAGTCCGGCTGGCTGAAGCCCGGCTGACTGAAAGCCGGTTTCTAGGGTTATGTTTAGCTTCTATATTTGCAACATAGTTGCTTAGAGTTGCAGGTGAGAGGCCAGCAAGTCAGGCGGGGAACGTTGGAGTCCGCTGTCACTGGAGCAAGCAAGCCTCCCTGTTCGCTTCAGTGCATGGCTGCTGGTCGCCATCTTGGCTGACAGTTAATTTGCATAAGGATATGCTGATTAGCCAATGGGAAGGGTAGCGGTTGTACGATAATTACCATGTTTCTCTTTTATTAGTGTAGATTACGCGCAGGCCCAGAGGAAAATGTCTCTCAAATTCTAGACGAAGTCACACAGGGAGTTTCCTGTATTTATACCATTTTACCCTCTTTGTCTCCCAAATATGGGGTTTTCCGGTCCCCTTTGCAAGTTCTTAAAGAGCCCCTACATGCTGGGGTTTTGAGACCTCAGCCAAAGGCTTGGCCTGGTGCCAGCACTGATGACTTCGTCTGGGGAAGGTTTAATGGCCTCTCTGAAATGGGAGTAGTCTTATTTTCCTTATTATTTAAGCCAGCAAGCATTTACAGAAGCCAAAATGCAGGGTTAAAATTTCACACAGCAGTTTTTATATAACATGGATGCTTCACTCTGGCTCCTCCTTGGGCTCATCTCCAAGCATTCCCCTCACCTGTCAGCACAGCTGCCACAGAGAACGCCTCCCCACATCGGAGTTGTTGGGAAATGGCAGAGGGTGCTGTGTGGGGTGTCTGGGCCTCATGCCCTCCTCAGGGGCCTGGGGCAGGAGCCTTTGGTCCCACATCTGCCGCCTTCAGTTTGCTCTTTTTCTGCTTCTTTTCCAGAGGAGGAAGAGGAAGAACCCTCTCAGCCATCCTCTGCTGGTTCTACTCCTGGGGGGCCACCACCGGGACCTGATTCCACAGACCAGCCCAAAAACAAAAAAAGGAATTTCTACAGGACTGCAGGTAACTGGTCCCTGGGCACTGAGGCCTCACCCCACCTCAGCTGTCAGCATTGAGGCCACGTCCCTGGTGGGAAGCTCTACTATACCCAGATCACCAGAGAAGGGACACAGTGTACGTGGGCAATGAAGCCAGCGATGCTCTGGAGTCAGGAGGACTGCACTGCAGGTCCTGGCTCTGTGACTGACTTGTTGCTTGACCCCAGGCCAGATACATGCCGTCTGTAAACCTTGGTCAGTTTGTTTCTAAGTGCGGGGGTAGGATTTTGTCATTGGCTCATCACAAAGGTCTGCTGTCAGCTTCTAATCAGCCTGGTACATGCTCAGGCCTGGCTCTTTGCCGGTTAAAGTCCACTGCCAGTGGACCTATTGGTCCCACCACACCAGGGCCTGGGTAAGTTTCATTTCTCCTCTGTGCTCCTCCCTGAGTGTAACAGTTTTTCAGGTTCTTTTGTGCATTTGAAATTAAGGAGGGGACATAAGGAAGATTGAAGAAAGCCGGACGGGGATTGGGTTACAGGAAAATTAACAGGATTATGTGCTCTCTTATGGATTAAAACCCCTTCCGGGGGTATTCTGGTATTTCAAAGGTGTGTTAACCTAGATGCACCACAACACTGGACAGGACTGGCATAAAACCTTTCACTAAAGAAGTTATAGGCCTGGGGTGCGACTGTCCACCATGACCTGCCTAGTTAGGAATGTATGTTCAGATCACCCTGTGAGGTTACTTGCCATAGAACCCCTTTTATTCGTCCACAGGGGGATCATACAGTATTTGTCTTTTTGTGATTCACTTATTTCCCTTAGCATAATGTCCAAGGTTCATCCATGTGTCAGAATGTCCTTCTTTTCTAAGACTGAACAATATTCCATGGTATGTAGATACCACATTTTGTTTATCCATTCATCAACCTTTGGATATTTGGATTGCTTTTACCTTGTGGATATTGTAAATAACGCTGCGATGAACATGGGGTGCAGGTATCTCTTCTAGACCCTGTTTTCAGGTCCTTAGGCAAATACCCAGAAGTGGGACTGCTGGATCATATGGAACTCTATTTTAGTTGTTTGAGGAGCCTCCATACTGTTTTCCATAGGTGAGGGAAACATCGATTGGCAGCCTCTGTGCTGTGCCAGCATGGCCAAGGGTGAACCTGAGGAGGGGAGGTGAAGGATTAAAGAAGATAGACAAAGAGAATATAGCTGGGGCTTTGCGGATCTCCCATGCATGGATGAGGACACAGA